TTGTTGTTGTTGTTGTTGTTGTTCCTGCGCTCCTCTAGAGTATAAAATAAAATAAGTATTTTCTCCCTTCATTCCCAGAGTGAAGAAGAAAAGCTTGGTTTAAATGTAGCTTGGTTTGTTCATATGGTCCCTGAGACTAAGTGAAGAAACTGGTTTCTTTGGTGCAATGTTTTGAAAGCTTGTGTTCGATGGGCAGCTGTACGAGAAGCTTCATTCATGACCCCTCATGAGCAACATTGGCCATTTCACTTCCAGTAATAACCTGAATTTCCTTAACTCCTTGTACTCCAGAGCGCTGTGTGCATGTAACTGCTCACACCGCTGTTTAGGCTTTGAACTGAGTTTCCTTTATCTGTTTGTGGGGAAAAGTTCTGTGCTGCGTTGTGGCCAGTGAACCAAAACTGGACTTGAAGTCTCTTGTGCCCCGTCCTCCACGGTTTGCTGGGAATGCCCCAGTTTGTACCAGGGGCATGGTGTGCTCCATGGTTTCCACTGTTTCTTCCCAGTTGGTAGCTGCAGGTTATTTAACTTAGTTTAAAAGCTGCTGTGTTTGGTGGCTGAGGGCAGAGCGAGTATTTTCTCAGAGCACAAAGGTATGCCAAGCCATGGTTATAGTCCGTTCTGGTGTGGCAGCTTTCATAGCTTGATCACAGGTTTACTGTTATTCGATATCTTTATTAAAGCCCCAGATCCTGGAGCAATGTGAGAAAGTGAAAAATCTCACTTTTACTCAGAAAAGAAAAAGGAAAGAAAATAAAAAGAAAGAACAAATCCCTATAAGCACCAAAAAAGCTTGAACTTGTGGCTTTGAAGAGTTACAAAAACAGGAAGTGAACAAAAAAAAGATCCTGCATTTGTTCATATGTTAAAATCTCATGATTTTTTACAGTGTGTTTCAGGGTTTTTTTGCTTTTGGGCTCAGCAATAGTAAAATTATCTTGTTGGAAGTATAGCTGTCTGACCTCTCTTGATGCTGGGGGTGTCGATTCATCATTGTCCATGTTTGTCTGGGTCATTTCAGGGTTTTTTAGTGCTGAAAAAATAAAATTGTTTGAGAGTGCCCTTCACCCCTGCCCATTTGTACTCTGCTACTGCCTCCAGCCCCCTCGAGAGGCGAGGGGAGACGTGGGCTCGGCGGGACCCAGGGCAGCGGGGACTGGGTCTGTTTTTTCCCAGTACAAAGAGAAAACATGTGAGGGAGTTACAGGTCCTTCATAGCTAGATGTTCCCCTTTCTGCTGAGTCTGCCGAAAGGGGCCGGTCACAGCAACGGCATTTTTGAGGGCAGAACCCACCAGATCCATTTACGGAGGCCACTGACACTAATGGCTTTCTGACTGTGTGACGTCTGGCTGGAGCAGAGCAAGTATAGGAGCTATAGGAAGAAATGGCTACATGTTCCTGCCAAAGCTAATCTTAGGCATGACTTTACTTAGGAACGCCTTTGATTTGAATTCTGCCTTATCCATCCTTGATACAGACTTTACCTTCTCCAAGAAACTTGGGAACATGCAGCTAATATCTGGGCTGCCACGTTCCCCAGCTCCAGCAGAGCTAAGTGACAGTGAAGCCAATAAACTCAGCAATCTCTGAGAAAATCTTTGGCATCTTAAAAATGAGATTCAGACTCCTTAACTAATCTGGTGGAACATAACTTTATAGCTCTTCCCAAGTATGTCAGAAATCCCAGGAATGTTGTGTACCATGCATTATGTGTGTAGCAGGGGGCCTGTCACCCTAAGGTGACAGGTGAACGTTTAGTGTCAGATGAAGTCAGTTCATCAGAAGACCATAACCTTCCTGATGAAGTTAATGACGCTTCTGGCAGGTTAGAGGAATTTGAAATAGACACATCGGGCAGGACTTAGGTAAGGAGTGTGGAGTGGCATTTGCCAGGGAAGTGTATTTTTTCACAGAGTAGTTTAATTCTGAATGGTGAAACAGTGTGAGACTTCTATCTTCACGCTAACTAGTCCTGCTGCTGGAGCCCACTCTGGCGTCCAGAAATTAAAGCTGCAGTTAAATTCCCATTGGTAAAATAGTTAACAAGTCAGCCTGGCTTTCCATGTTATTTTTCTTCCAGTAACACTGAAAATTGCCTCTTACTGTAGCCTA